AGTGAGGGCACAGGAGAAGTCAGGGAGCAGAATTATGTTTTGGAGGCCAGTGGTCCCCATGATGTTGCCCCCAAGTTTTTGGGTGGTGTATTTTAAAGCATTTAAAGCAAAAGTAGGATATTTTGTACTTTTGTTCCACAACCCTAGTGAATTCCTTGATCTCCTCAAAGAAAAGAGGAAAGGAGAAACAGCACCTGATGTAAGAAAATCATATTTTCCAAATATCGGGATCTCCCGGGTTTGTCCACAGTGGTGACATTCCATGTGCATTTGGCATCAAGTAGATTGAGAGGAACTAGAAAGTGAACAATACCAACCTAGTCATTGCATTTATTATATCCCCTCTTTGTCTCTGGGCTCTCACTCTCTAGTGAGTAGTGGGGCTTTGGCAGCTAAGTAGGGAGTTGAGAGGAGAATGTCAAGTGGAAGTGTTAAGATTCAGCAGCTAAGGGAAGGTACCACAGACAAAGTCTAGGACTCAGAGGAAGAGGGTATGTGCCATATTTATTGGCCATTGGAAGCTAGAACAAAAGATCTCAAGATCACAGAGAGACTCCAGGATAGGATGTCAATAGACTCTCCCAGGGCCCAGCCATTAAGTCCACTCCCCCTACTCTATAAGCAGGAAAGAGTTGGAAATCCCTGTCATTGGAGGACTCCCAATGGAAAGGCATTGGCCACAGGAACTTCAATTGCTACCCAGTCCTGAGTCTTTGCATTACGTTTGTGAGGAGGTCTAAGACTCAGATTCAGAGTATCTGAATCTTCATCTTATGATCATCCCTACTGGCATGAGTTGATCATCAGTTGAGAACTATGTTGTATCAGCTATACTTCTTTGCCCAATTTGTACCAGCTTGAGAGAGTTGATTGTTAAATTTTCATTGTGAGAGCAAAGTGGGGGTGGTTACGTGGTGCAGTAGATGGAGCACTAGCCCTGGATTCAGGAGGACCTTAGTTCAAATCCAGCTTTAGACACTTACTAGCAATGTAACCCTGGGCAAGTCACTTAACTCAAATTGCCTCAAAAAAAAAAAGGAAAAGAAAAGAAAAGGCAAAGAGTATAAATCAGGGCTTGATCTATTATTTTTGTTGATTTTCTAGATCTAGACCTGAGAAAGCAGTGGAGAAAATATTAACAATGCAGAATAAACTTAAAAGTGAGTCACATGTAAACATTTTTTCCTGGACAGTTAGTTGCTTGAATACCACTATCTTTCCTAGAACACCTGGGTTTGGGTTGGCCTGTGTTCTGCCTGGGAATTCCCTTGTGTGGGGACTCCCTGGGTCTAGGAGAAGCTATGAGGATGTAGCCACACAGCAGATGTTTTAGTGTGCATCATTTTATTGCTTTTGTTATTTCTATGCCAAACAAATACTTAAGTATATTGGGTCTATTCTTAGTCAACAAGCTTTTACTAAGCCCTTACTATGTGCCAGACATGGTGTTAAGCTCTGGAGATACAAAAAGAAAGACAAAAACAGACCCTGCTTCCAAGGAAGTTAATTCTAATGGGTGAGACAACATCCAAATACAAGGTATATGCAAGATATATACATAATAGGTGAAATAGGTCTGAGGGGGAAGGCATGAGCAGCTGAGGGAGACCTTGAAAGGCCTCCAACAGAAAGTGGGATTTGAACTGTCTTGAAGGAAGCCAGGGAAACTTAAGAGGCAGAGGTGAGAGGGTAGAGCATTTCAGGTGTAGGGGCAGTCAATTCAAAGGCATGTATATAGGATGTGTGTTTGTGTTCAAGGAACTGCAGGTAAGCTAGCATTGCTGGATCATAGAAGGTGGGGAGGGAATTAAGGAGATTGGGAAGGGAGGAAGGGTTCAGGTTACAAAGAGCTTTAAATGTCATGTAGAGGCCTTTATATTTGGTCCTGGAGGTAATAGGGAGCCATTGGAGGTCATTGAGTGGAGGAGGACAGTGATATGGTCGGGAAAGGATGGATCAGAATAGAGAGAGACTTTGTGGCAACAGGACCATTTAGAAGGCTAGTGTTGTAATCCAGGTGAGAGGTGATGAGGGCCTAGGGTTGTGGCTGTGTGAGTGGAGAGAAGGGGACAAATACAAGAGATGTTAAGAAGATCTGACAACTAATTGAATATATAAGATGAGAGTGAAGAATGGAGGGACCACACCAAGGTTGTAGGCATTAGGGACTGGGGGGGGGTGTCAAGGTGCCCTCGATAGTGACAGAGGAGGAGGGTAGAAGGAAGGGTTTGGGGGAAAAGATAATAGATACTTTTTTGGAAGAGAAATTTTATATAGCACCTACTATTTGCCAGGCACTGTGCTAAACTCTTTTACAAATATAATATCTCATTTGCCCCTAACAAGAACCCTGTGAGGTGCTATTATTATTCTCCATTTTATAATTGAGGAAACCGAGGCAAGCAGAGGTTAAATGGCTCAGGGTTGCACAGCTAGTAAATGTCTAGGGTGGGATTTGAACTCAGGAGTTTGAAACGCCTACAGGATATTTTGAGATGTCCAAGAGTTGGTGGTAATGTGGAACTGGAACTCAAGAGAGAGGCTAGGAGTGGATATACATGTGTGTGTGTGTGTGTGTGTGTGTGTGTGTGTGTGTGTGTGTATACATATATGTATATCTATATCCATTCCTAGCCTCTCTCTTGAGCTCCGTATACATGTGTATATATACATATACGTATATCATCTGCATAGAGTTATTTGATATTACGTTCATCCCAACTTTTTGGGCCCCTTTCTCTCATCTATGAAATGGGGGTGATAATATTTACTCATACTAACAGAACCACGGAGGGGCTGATGGGGACACCAAGAGAGGGAGTTAGGAAATCCGGGTTTAAATTCCAGCTCTGCCACATATCGGCTGTGTGATCTTGGGTAAGTCACTTGCTGTCAGCCTTGGGAAGTGGCAGGTTCTCCTTCACTGGAGGTTTTTAAGCCAGACCTGGATGACTATCTGCCAGGGAAGTAGAAGGGCTTCTCGTAGAGATTCAGGTTGGCCCCTTCCACCTGTGAGAGTCTGTGAGTGCATGACTGACCTTTGGGCTTCAGCTCCCTCATCTGTAAAGTCAGCGTTGGAAAGGAGGGAGTTGGACTGGAAGGTCACTGATACAAGTCTTTTTTGACTCTAAAATCCTATGATTTGAGGTGTCCTATACCGATCAGGGCCAGGCTGGCTCTAATCACTGAGGATGTCCCAGTCTTCTTCAGGAATGGCTTTCTCCTTCACTGGTTATTAGGTCCTCAGAAGACCCGTCAGTCACTTACTGTTTGCTAGGAGTTGAACTCTGGGCTGAGGATATGAATTCAAGCAAAAAGAAAGATAGCCACTATCTTCAAGAAGTTTACACTCTAATGAGGGAAGATAACATATAGAAGAAAAAAAACAGGGGGAGTGAGTGAGGTGGGAGACATGGGGAAATGGTGGCAAAATTCAGAGAATGAGGGATGGCTGACATGGGTCATCTCTCAAAACGACCACCCAGAAATCATTATAATCTCTTTGTAGGAGTTCTATATACTTTTCCTGCCTCCTAAGAATAGAGAACTAAATATGCATGTGTTCGAGTGGAAAATAGGGAGATGGGAAGGTAAGAATAAGGGTCAGAAATCTGCTCACTGATCAATCAGATGACAAACATTTAGTGTCCTCTCTGTGCTGGGTAGTGTGGTGTTGTTCATAGAGCACAAGGCCTTGGAGTCAGATAGATCTGGTTTAAGGTCCTGCCTCTGACGTGTGTACTGCTTGCATGAGTCAGGGCAAATTACTTCACCCCATCAGTGATCAAGGTGACCCTCTAAGACTTTAAGCTGTGGACCCAATGCTGATCTGCGTGGGTAGAACCAGCGTCCTCACAGGTAGCTTCTCACCATACCGATGATGCCATAGCACTGTTCTCTGCCATCAGCATTCTCCCTCTGCCCTGCTCCTTCCCCGCCAAAAAAAAAAAACAAAAAAAAACAATAACAATCAGCATTTTATATATCACTCTAAGGTCTGCAAAACACTTTATATGTATTATCTCATTTGATCATCGTAACAACCCTGTGAGGTAGGTGCTATTATTATACCCATTTGGCAGATGTGGAAACCAAGGCTTAGAAGTTTAAATATTAGGAGATAATGAATAATAGCTCCCATTATATGTTTTACAAAGAGTTTTCTTCACAACAACCTTTCAAGTTAGATAGTGCAGATCTTAACACATATCACCCCTTTTTAAAGATGACAGAGCTAGGGCTCAAGGAAGTTAAATTTTATGTTCACCTAATACTGTCAGTGTTTAGTTGGGATCAGTGTAAGACCTTCTCTGAGCCTCTGAAGGCAGGAAAGGATTGGAAAGACAGATTTTAGATGGGAGTCACCAGTTAGTTCAGCTCCTATCCCATCTGTCCTTTCTCCTTCTCTGGGTCAATTCCATATGCCCAAAGAAATCACCTAACATTTGTGCTCACCAGGCCCAGCTGCAGGTCAGATGGCATTTCCTGAATCTCAGACAGTACTGATGCTCAGTCCCTGTGAGTGTGGGGGCATCTGAGTTCCCTCCTGCCATCACCCACATATTATGACAACTACCCCTTCCATCCAAATAGAGAGCTGGTGAAGCCTAGACACCTAGAAGCCTAACTCAGAAATGTCAACAAATGCTAATATTGCCTTCACTCCATCTCCAGACAGACGTCATTTAGAAGGGAAAATTTGCCCAGCGCAGGCAAAGACTGCACACTTTTTGGCACGAGGGACCGAGTCGCTAGGCAACAGTCCACCAGTCATCCCCCAGCACCCTCCCCTTTCCCTGCCCTTTACTCCCCACCCCCCAATACTCTTCTCTGTTTCCTGGCATCCAATTAGCATCTGGAAGGGTGGTGATCGTGGCCAACCCAGCCCTCCTTCCCCCTTGTTGGAATAGCAGCCCAACTGAGGGCCCATCTGGGAGGGAGGGCCTGGGGGATCTAGGGAGGGGCGGCAGATAAGAGAGGCAGAGAGCTGGCAATCCAACCCAACTGAGGATTCGGGGTACATAAGCAGCCAGCAGCTCCTGGGGAGCAGAAGACAAGTCCTGTCGTGACAGATCCTGAAGCCTTAGAGTTGAGTGTTAACTGTCCTCTCTCATATGGTAAGATCTGATTTATTTATCCTTTCTTCCCCTTGCCCTGCCCTCTCTATTTGTTTCAGAGTTGGGGGGAAGCTCCCCAAGTAGCTCCAGGGATGGGGTTGAAGTTGGCATTCTTTGCCTTCTGAGGTTCCGTATAGTCAGGCCCCCAACCCTAATATAGCTCCACAGGCCTCCCTCACTTACTTGGTGATTTAATCACTCTTAAGACTGGATAAGACAGTCTCAAAGTCAAGCCGTGAAATCAGGTTTCTCCACACCCATCAATGTCCCATTTCCAGTGTGATGCAGTGGATGGAACACTGGGTTTGGAGTATGAGGTCTTTTTCAACTTTAAAGTGGTATAATTAACCCGTCACACAGCTAGTCAGTTTCTGAGGTTGGATTTGTATTCAGGTCTTCCTGACTCCAGGCCCAGCACTCCATACACTGTGCCATTTGGTTGCCTATCTTTCCACGGGAGCGGGTGGCATTTCATTTCTCCCCCATTTGTGGGAGCTGATCCTTCTCATAGGTCTCCCAAGAGCATTTCCACGGGGCTATTTATAGGCTGTTGACCTGAACAAGGCTGATGAGAGACAGACATTTCCACAGATCTACTTGCTTCTGCCTCCTCAATCAGATGGAGGTTACCAGTCTAAAGTTCAAAGATGGAACAGAGCTGTGAAGTCAGAAGGCAAAACTAGGCAAGATGTTTGCAAAAATAAGGGAAGATGTTTCTAAAAACAAACAATCCTATTCAGTAGAGGGTGGGAGAGGTGCTACTGGACTGGAGAAAGACCAACATTGTGATTAAAAACAAACACAACAAAAACAAAAGAGTGGCATCTGCAAACCAAAGGCCAGGGAACTTGATTTTGATTCCTGGCAAATTACAGACAATATTCTTTAAGGGATAGTTACCATAGACTTTTAGAGTTGGAAGGGACCTTGGCAGTCATACAGTTCAACCTATGCCTGAAAAAGATAGACAGCACAACCCCATGAACTCCAGGCCCTGGTTGTGGACCTCCAGGGAGGGGAAGCCTCCACCTCCCCAAACACTGCTGTAATGATTGGGAAATTGTCCTTATATCAAGCCTAAGTTTGCCTTTTTCAACCCTCCTACCCATTTTTCTCAGTTCTGCCCTTTGGGGCCAAATAGAATACTCTAACCCCTCTTCTATACGAGAGCCTATTAGACATACTATTTATTTATTTTAACATTCATTTTTAAAAACTGTGAATACTAAATCCTCTCCCTCTCTCCAGCTTCTCCCCCACCCACTGAAAAGGCAAGCAATATATCAATTATACATGTGAAATCATGCAGAACATGTAGTTTACGTGACAGTCTTTCCGATTGTTGAAGACAGATTATCACGTCCCCTCAACCTTCTCCAGGCTAAATGTTCCCACTTCCTCCACCTGGTTCTGACATGGCACGAACTCAAGGCTCTTCACCATCCACGTTGCTCTTCTCTAGACCTCTAGCTTATCAATATCGTTTCTTTCTCTGGGCATGGCAGAGTACAATCCTTATTGAATCCTTGCTCCAAGAAGCTCTGCCTCTCCTAATGTGGGCTGCTGGGTCTGTTCAGGGAAACGGACATTCCAGGTTTACAATAAGGGGAACCCCTCCAAAAACAAACTTTACATATACCTTGATAAGAGGACCAGCTCCCATCAATAGGGAGCCCCCTCTAATCAGCCAAATTCATGGCTGCCTGCCATATCACTCTGCTGACTCAAAACTGAGCTGGTTGACCACTAGGAGCCCCAGATCTTTTTCCAGACAAATTGTTCTCCAACCATGCCTTTCCCATTCCGTACTTGTAAAATTCATTTCTTGAACGCAAGTGTAAGATTTCACATATATCCCTATTACATTTCATCTTATTAGGTTTAGCCCAATTTTCTAGCCTGGAAAGATCTTTTTTTTCTTTTGGATTCTGATTGTCATCCATGCTTATTATCCATGCCTCCCAGATTTGTATCATCCACAGCTATGATCACACAGTTATCTATACCTCTCTCCAAATCATTGATGAAAGTGTTAAATAGTGGAGAAGGAAGCAGTGATCATGAAGGGCCAGACTGGGTCCTATTTCTCTCTCTTTCTCCTTCCTTTTAGAACCCTTCTAACCCAGTTCTGTCTGGGCAGCCTCTGTGATTAGGGCACATGAGTAGCCAGCTGGTCCTCTGCTTAGATGAGCTCACCTCCTCCAGGCCTGGTTGGAGGCAGGTGTCTGACCCGTCCCAGCTCTAAGCAGACCCCCTTTGGTGTCAGCTCTCCCTAATCAGCAGGCACAGACAGCGTTCTCTTCCTGTTCCAGAATCCCAGGCCCCCTGCTGGGCTCGTCCCTTGGAGGGGGAGGGGATGCCTGTCCCTAGCTCCGTGCTCATTGGCAGAGAAGGGATGACCGACCTGCTCTGAGCCCCGCCCATCCCAGGGGCCGGCTCCTCCCCCTGCCTCAGGTCCTCTGGGGGATGCCTGCGCTGCTCGTGGGCTCATGGATCTGTTTAGGGAAACTGGCATTCCAGGTTTACAGTGAGGGGAACCTCCCTCAAAAAACTTTATACGTGCCTTGATAAGAGGAGCGGCTTCCATCCATGGACAGAAGAGAAGGGTCTGAGAGTGGCCGAGGCTTGGCCATGTCTGTGGGCGGAGAGGATGGAGGCAGGAGAGAGGAAGAGATTGACAGAGGACCAGAGAAGGTGGGAGGGGCTGGGTACTCAGGGGGCAGGTAAAGAGGAACGTCTAGAGCAGAGGTTCCCAAAGTGGGCCATACTGCCCCCTGGGGGGTGGTGGTAGCCTGGGGGCAACTGGGGGCATTGAATAAAATAAGGGGGTGGTGGAAGCATAAGGAAAGAGGAGAAGATCAGAAAATTTTTAAAAACCATTCAAACATGTTTCATCTGTTGTTTAACAGAGTTAAAGTCGTAGTGATTACATTATTTTCCAAATTAACAAACAAAATGCAAGTTATAACTGATCAGTGGTCAAGTCTGCTGATGGGTCTTAACAAGCAAGTGTTGGCAGGCGAGCATGTTCTACGTTTTCAAGAAGTCCAGCATGCATCAACAAGCATATGTGGGTATAATGACTTGTTTGTAATACCAACATTTTAGTGCAGGTAAAACCCTCCACAAATTTACAATAAATTATTAAATTTAAGGTGTGTCACATAAAAATATTTTATATATTTTTGAAATGACTCAGCTTTCAAAAAAACTATTAAAGGGTTTAAGAAACCCAGGAGGGAGCTAAGGAATTTTTTTTTTAAAATGGGGAAGTAGACCAAATAAGTTTGGGAACCTCTGGTCTAGTGAATGGGTGAGGTTACAGACAAATGCTAAGGTGGAGAAGAGGGAAGATAAGGGGTTATATGATGCACAGACTGGACATATCCCAGAGACCAGGCAACCAAACCATCTGCTAAGAGTGAGGGTCACAGAGTGGGGCTGGGGGCTCAGGGATGGGGGAAAATGTTTGGAGCAGCTGCTGTGGTGAATGATACATGAAGAAAAGGATCACCAAACAATAGCCAAGGAGGTAGTGGCATGCTTTGGGAGCTTTGGACCCTCCCTGGGGTTCTTGACTTGGAGGGGGGAAGTCTGAACTTGTTTTTGAAAACATTTTGATAACTATATTTCAAGAGAGTTATATCTGAGGCAGCTACATGGAGCATTGGACCAGAGTCACAAAGACCTGAGTTCAAATTCATCATCCTCTGACACTTACTAGCTATGTGACTCTGGGCAAGTCACTTAACCTCTGTCTCAGTTTTCTCATATGTAAAATGGGGTTAGTAATAGCACCTCCCTCATGGGATGGTTGTGAGAATCAATGAGATAATATTTGTAGAGCATCTTGCAAACCTTAAAGCACTATTTACTAATTATTATTAACATATTATATTTATTACATATTTATAATACATTTGCATATTATAGATTACATTTATATATTATTATATTATTAACATCATTATTAGCAATTATTTTCAATATAATTGTTTTCCTTTGTAACCTTCCATATTTTATTTTATAAATTGAAAAATATTTTTCTGAGAAGAGGCCCATATATAGAGGCTTCACCAGACAGCCAAAAATGTCAAGAGTAAGAGTCTGAGACTGATAATGGAGAGAGGGAGTTCTATATATCTTTAATTTATTTTTCTTCCTAGAATGTGAATCAGGGTGACCAGCATGATTTGGAAAGGCATCCTGGTGGAGAGGCCAGCCCGGTGCCAGTAATCCCTGGAGAGGAGCCTGGAGACCAGCCAGAGATAGTCGAGTACCAGGAAGAATTCAGTGAGGATAGGGCTGGGGAGGACAGTGGAGAATTCAAGGAGCACAACATTGGAAGGAGGCCTTAGGGGTAGAGGGGGGTGTGCTGGCCATCCTTCTCTGACCTGACAACTATCAGGTATTAGATCAGAATAGTCTGTGGGCTATTCAGGTCTTTGGGGTTTCCATCTCCCCTCTTCCTCCATAATGGCCTTTTAAAATTTACAAAGCACTTCCATCCAATTAAGCAAGCATTAAGCAATTACTGTGTGAAAATCATCATGCTAGGTGTTGGTGGTACAGAGTCAAAAATGAGATAATGCCTGCCTTCAAGAAACTTACATTCTGATTGGAAAAAGTAACATGTACACACACAAAACACTAAATATAAAAAGTAAATACTAGGCAATTTGGGAGTTCTAAGGGTTGAAGGGGGTGCCGTCAGGCAAAGGCACAGGGGAATACCAAGTGACTAATTAAGTTGGGGCATAGGTCATACGAGGGAAAATAGTGTGAAATTAATTTAGAAAGATTGTCTGGAGTCAGACTGTAAGGGGCTTTAAATGCCAAACAGAAATTTCTGTATTTTTATTCCAGAGGTAAGAGTGAGGCACAGATACTTCTCCAGTATGGGAGTGACATAGTCAATGTCAATTTGGCATCTGTGTGGAGAATGGATCGATAACGGAGGAGACTTAAGTCAGGGAAATCAATTAGAGGTTATTGCAACAGTTTGGGGCAGGGTGATGAGAACTTGAACTTGGGTAAGAGCTCTACGAGCAGGGAGCAGATAGGAGACATATCGTAAAAGAAGGGTGGACGAGGCTAGTCTGACTGTATACTGGGAGGGCAGAATGAAGAGTCAATGGAGACTTGGACATTTCAAAGTTGAGTGTTTGGAAAAAGGGTGGCGACCTCAACAGAAACAAGAGAGTTAGAAAGAGGGGGAGAAAGATCATGACTTCTGTTTTGGATATGTTGAGTTTGGATACCTCTGGGATATATAGGTGGAGTTGGTGATGGGAGACTGAAACTGAGGAGAGAGATGAGGGCCAGGTATCTAGATCTGGTAGTCCTATGAACCCATGGGAGGAATGAAATCACCAAAAGACAGAAGACGGACAGTAAAGAAGGGCAGGGCAGGACAGAGTCTTCTACACATGCAAAGGGGCATTATATTCTGTTATATATATTATCTTGCTTGAGTCTCACAACCCTGTGAAGTAAGTAATTCAGGTAATATCGTGCCCATTTTACACATGAGGAAACCAAAGGTCAGATAAATTAAATGCCATCCTGTTTCTTTGTTCATTCATATCTTCTCCTCCCCATTTTGGTCTACCCTTCCCTCTTCTTCCTATTCCTGACCTGGAAGGAGAGGAAGCTCCCTTGTCCAGTTTGCTCAGAAGAGGGGACAACTGAATTTCCTCTCTTTTCCCATTTCATCTGTTCTTGGGACATGTCAGAGGGTCACCTTCAAGGTTACTTGCTTGAGGCCCCAATGGGAGGTTCCCCAAAGTGGAACCTGGGGAGAGGGCCTGATTAGGCTGTCAGGGTTCCGGGGCCTCAGGTTCTCTCTGCTCCTTTTTACAGACTTCCCTGATGGTCGCAGGACCTTTCCAAGGTGGGGAAGGCGTGGGTGTATCTTATTCACGACCATTGGGCTGATGGCTGGGATAGGCGTTGGGATCTGGCTTCTAGGTCAGTGCTAAGGTAATAGGACAGTGATAATAATAGGACTGTCTTTGAGGCTGGGGACCCTGAGCTATAGCCTGCCTCATGATTTACTAGGCTTAAAACACTCCTTTCTGATCCATTAGGAGAACTGGAAGGATAGGGGCAAAGGAATAGGTTTAGGGTGGGTGGGTGGGGGAAGATTTGAAGGGAAAAGGAGTACTTGGGACAGATAAGTCACTAAAGGAGGAAGGGGATAAGGATTATTCCTTGTCTTCACCAAGAAGAGAACAGGAGGAAATGGATTAGAACTGCAGCAGGAGGGACTTGGGTTAGGCATAAAGAGGAACTTTTCAATAGTGAGGGCTGAAAGTCATCTGAATGATTAATGGTTGATTCAGAGAATTTGTGGAGCAACTCTTGCTAGAATGTGAGAAAGACTTTCACCTAGCTGCCCTGCATAGAGCCCAGGATGAAGTGTCCCCTTTGGAGGCCTGTCCCATTTTAGAATTCACTGGTTGTCCATGGTGGCTGTCATTGGGCCTCTCCTGACCTTCCCTCTCCCCCTCCCTTTCCACCTCTTTCTTTAGTCCTGCTTTTCAGGACAAATGCCTTGTTGAAGACCCTGCAGCAAAAGAATGTCATGAGTTGTACAGAGAGTCCCCTCACCCCAACAGTCTCTAAGTCAGGTGGGTGACCTTTCCTCTTTCTTGAGTCCTGCTCCCCAGTCTATGCTTATAGGAAATCTCTCCTTCAAGATTCTCCCCTTACATTCAGGATTCTGGATGCAAGTCAAGAGAATTCTGGGTCTCATTTCTCCATTATGGTTCTACTTTCATCAACCACAGTCAAGGATGGATGGAAAGCCCCCTGGCTCCTTGGGTGGGAGGGAGGGGAAGTTGAGGCATTAGGGTGGAGAGGGACAGGACCCTGAGCTGGGCCTGTCCTTAAGGAGACGAATTCTGGCTTTTAGCACAGTCTGGGCTGACTCATTGCTCTCTGGGGGCAATCTCGTCTGTCCCTGCAGCTTGTCCTTAGCCAGGACCTGGGGCCTGGGAAAGATCTAGAGGGTTAGGCAATCTTAGAAAATTGAGCTCCAGATGGCCTCTTTTCTTGTATCAGGAGACAGGGTTCCCCTTAGAGACAGGTGGACTGTTTGGCCTAAACTGGGGCAAGGGCCTGGGGCTTGGGGATATGAATTTTCTCTAATTTGTGCATTTTGCCTTTTCTTTGGAAAACACCCTGCCAGTTCCTGTCCAGAATAACCCGGGTGGATGTCTGTACCCAGGCCTTTCTTCCAAACCCCATCAAGCACCATCTTGTCCAGACTCTTAGGGTACCCTGCTAGGTTCCAGAGCCTGTACTTCCCTGCTACCCGAGTGCTGGTGAGCTCAGGCGACAATGTGGTTTTTCATGCTGTGGTTTCAGTATCTTTCAGAATAAACTCCAGAAACTTCTTACCGGAAGTGCAGGTAAGGGCATGGCCAGGCTGGCTTCTGGTATGCCATGAGGGCTGGAGTCCTGCCTTAGGGACCTGGATTTGTGGATACCTCGGACATCTCAGGTACCTTGGTGGGAGTGGGAGTGTAGGAGGGCTGGGGAAATGGAGGAGAGGAAGAGAGAGAGAGAGAGGACTGGAAGGTGGGGAGATTCCTTTATTTGTCCCATATTTCCATTTCTCTCCAGAATGATCCCCAATGCTGAGGTCATCTAGCATGTTCTCTTGCCTTTAGGCCCAGACTTTTGAGAATCTATGTCATTTTCAACAATAACAACAAAAGACCCCAAGAGAGGAAGGATCTGTTTCCTTCCTCACTCTGCCATCCATTTCAATGATTCCCCCTTAGAATCTAACTCATATTCCTTCTGTTGCAGTTTAAACTCATTTCTTCTAATTTCTGTGCTAAGGCTACCTTTTTTTTTTTTTGTCAAGACTCAGTCACCACAAAGGAGTGAACCTGACTGATATCAAGGTCAACAGTTCTCAGGAGTTTCTCCAGTTTCTTCCTGGATCAGGGGGTCGCTTGGAGGACATGTGGCAGCACAGGTAGGGTTTGGGTTGAGTAGAAGGGGATGAGGTCAACAGGAGGAATCCTTCCCATTTCCCCTGGAGATCTCAGGCACAGAGCTTTCTTTTTCTTCAAGAGGAGGGAGTGGTGCCAGGCCATTAGGGGCATCTAGGGATGAGGCAGAGATTGCCAACCAGAAATCGCATAAGATCCAGGTAATCCTAAAGAAAGAGATAAATCTCCCCATCCTGGCCAAGATCAGTGGACTGCCTAGAGACAAGAAAAATACCTAGGCCTGTAAGATATTCTCCCACATGTTGGAGGTTGGCCAGGACCAATGCAGCAAGCCCACTAACTATGAGTGAGTGGGATACCCACCTTTCTTGTGCCTGTCCCCACATCTTTTTCTCCCAGACTCTTCCTCCTTTGCAGGGTCTATAGGAGAGGAAGGAGTGAATATGTGAGGCATAAGTAAATACCTGAGTATTTAAATAGGGAACACCTTTTTGTTTTCTCAAGGGGGAGATTAGAAACATTCTAGTTTAGTGGAAGTAGATGGCAAACTGGAGGATTGTGGGGGAGGAGAGGAAAGAGATTAATTTAGGGTTGGGTGATGACTAGCAAAAGTGAGACTTCTCCAATCTCTGGCTGATGGGGCTGAATTCAACTGGGACTAAGACAGGGAAAGTATAGTTTTCTCAGGGGATCATTTGGACCTGTGATGTACCTGTAGCTGAGCACTGTATCTCTTTTATGTGCATGCCCAAAGTATAAATAGGATCATGGGGCCATAGATTCAGAGCCAATAGTGACTTTAGAGTCTATTGAAACCAACTTCCTCATTTTACAGATGAGGAAACTGAGTCACAGAGAGGCTATGTGACTTGCTTAGGGCCATACAGTAAGTTTCTGAGGCAGGATTCAAACTCAGATCTTTTTTTCCTGACTCCAATTCCAGCACTTCATCCACTTACACCATCTAGTTGTTTATAAATCAAGCCTATGTCTACCCTCTCTGCCAGGAGTGGCTTTTGCTTTGGTTGAACACTGCCCTGAAGGCGTGTGGCCATTCTGATGCCCTTTTCTGAGGAGGGGAAAAGCCTTTCATTGTTATTCACTTGTTTCAGTTGTGTCTGGTTCTTCGTGATCCCATTTGGGTTTTTCTTGGCAAAGACACTGGAGTGGTTTGCCATTTCCTTCTCCAGATAATTTTACAGATGAGGAAACTGAGGCAAACAGGGTTAAGGGATTTGTCCACCCAGCTAGTAAGTGTCTGAGACTGGATTTGAACTGAGGTCTTCCTGACTCCAGGTCCAGTGCTCTATCCACTTAGACAAGAGCTTAAAGGGTGACTATATTGCTGTGAGATAAAGGGCCCTAAGCCCTTGGGTATGAACAAGAAGTCCCAGCATTGACCCCTCCTTTTCTTAACCCTCACTGCTTTATAGGAACAGTTGTGCCTTAGGCCGGGTTGTCTTCCTCAAATGCTCAGGTGAGTTACAGCTCCCCCCTCCCCCCTGCCAAGAGGAATGAGCAGGACCTTAGGATGTGGAGATGGATGACCTTGGCAGGCATCTCCCCCCACCCCTGCCACCCCCCACAGTTAGTTTCCCAGCTGGGGAGCAGAGGGTAGTTTCAATCATTCAACATATATGATTAACCAAATATTCATTAATCCCTACTATGTGCAGAGCCCTAGATTAGGTAATGGGAAAACTCCTTTTCCTTACAATTCAGGGTATGTGTAAAACATAAAGGTATAAACCAGGGGTGGGGAACCTGCAGCCTCGAGGCCACATGTGGTCCTCTAGGTCCTCAAGTGTGGCTGTTTGACTGAATCCACTTAATAAAAGGATTTGTTCTGTAAAACTTGGACTCAGTCAAAAGGCTGTACCCAAGGACCTAGAAGGCCACATGTGGCCTTGAAGCTGCAGGTTCCTCACCCCTGGTATAAACTGTTTACTAGTGAGGTAATTGCTGTTCACCTCTATATATATCTAGTGACTGTGCCTGTGTACTGGTCTCACACAAGGATCTCATTTGATTTGTGGCCAATTCTCCATTATCAGATGATCCTCTTTGTGCACTTCACCCATGGGGAAGGGGGAAAAGGGGTGAGATGTTGCCAGGAGGAAACATGGCGGCCTATAAAGGGAAGCCAAGTTTGGGCTTGGTGGATGGGGCTGAAATGAGCAAGAGACCTTTCCCATTCCCCTAGAGATGCCAGCGTGGTTAATGAAGTTTTAGGATTATCTAGGTACTGTTTTGCACCTGGTGTCTAATGCCTTTTGGTCATCTTGTACTTTCTCCCCCTCCTCCTCCTCCTCCTTGCCTCCTAGAGACCAAACTGAGGTGAATTTCAACTAAGTCTATCCTACAACTTGTTAGCAGCCTCAAAACCAGGAGGAAGTTGAAACTCTTAGTCACATTGAGGTTATATACATATAGTCACATTGGGGAATATGTATGGAGTTCCATTATCCAAGCTTCCCATCTTATCTCCAAGGCTTATTGAGAATTAGCCATGCACACTCCATGACCCCAGAGGCCTTGGCCATCTACCTCAAGGTGCTCAGTGATGGTGCTGGCACCAACTTTTGCCTCTCTCTTCCTTTTTTCCATTCCCACCAATGATGGCCAGAGTGTGGGGTCCAGCACCTGACTTCCTGGATTATCGGTGGGACCTCCGCTGTCCTTGAGCGATGGCCCTGGCAGGTCAGCATATTCAAGGGCCCCCAGTACTCATGTGGAGGCTCTCTGCTGACTCCAAGTTGGGTGGTGACTGCAGCCCACTGTGTCTACAGGTATGTCTCTAGAGGCTACTCATCCACTCCCTTAAAGAACCTTTGCCTGAGCTATGGAGCACATGGGAATCCTTTTCTGTTCATTTGTGGATGGGTGCCATGCTTCTCTTGTCTTTATGTCCTATGCAGGTGTGTCTGACACAGATTATAAACTTCTAGAGGGTAGCGTTAGGATTTATAGTCCTTTTTTGTGCTGTGCTTAGATTTGGGCCATATGCAATTTTTACTATGCTTGTAATGATGATGATTCATTCATTAAATGAGTGTTTATTAAGTGTGTGTCTGGCACTGTACTAGGAACTGGGGATACAAATACAAAGAATGAAATAATCCCTACTCTCAAGAATGCTAATGAGAATCATAATCAATTTCAATTCGTTCAACATATAGTTTTTTTTTGGTGAGGCAATTGGGGTTAAGTGACTTGCCCAAGGTCACACAGCTAGTACGTGTCAAGTGTTTGGTCTGAGGCCGGATTTGAACTCAGGTCCTCCTGACTTCAGGGCCGGTGCTCTATCCACTGCGCCACCTAGCTGCCCCTCAACATATGGTTTTTAAGCACTTACAACATGTCAGTCACTGCTTGGAGCTGAAGAGAAAAAAATAAACCATAAAACTATTCCTGTCCTCCAGAAGCCTCCATTTTATTGTGGGGAGGGGATAGGACAAGCACAGATTAAGTAAATGCAAATTATATGCAAAGCAATTTTAATCAGGTGAAGGAGGGAGACAGAGAGACACACACACACATACACAGAGACAGAGACAGATGGACAGAGAGAAAGACAGAGAAAGAGACAGAGAAAGAGAGGGAGACAGAGAAGAGAGGAGAGAGAGACAGAGGGAAGAAGAAGGAGAATGAGAAGGAGGAAAAAAGACAGAGGAGAGACAGACAGGAAGAGGGAGAAGAGAAAGAGACAGACAAAGAGAAGGAGGGAAGAAGACAGAGATAGAGAGAGATAGAGAGGAGAGAGAGGCAGAGAGAAATGCTAATAACTGTGGGGTCAGAAAAGCAGGTGACATCTGAGCTATATTTGGAGGGAATGCTTATATAAATCCCTTCCATTTATGTAGTTCTTTACAGTCTCGCAATTACAACCCATTTTCTCCTTTATTCTCCACAATCTGGAGAGATAGGGATGTATCTATGGGATCTATGGGAAGATAAGGCTCAGAGAAGTTAGGTAATTTGCCAGAGTTGCCCACCTATTCATTGGCAGAGTCAGGATTTGAACCCAGAGCCAGAATTTGAACCCAGGCTTTCTGACTCTTCTTTCTCCTATATCACAGAGCTTCTTTGGGGACTTGATACGTTTTTGGTTGATGACGACAACAGTGATGATGCAGTAACAAATTGAGGGGCTGGAGTTCTCTAATATTTCTGGCATCTAGTTCGTCAATCAACCATAAAATATTTGCTAGATGTTTGCTCTGGATCTCCACCCCTCTCCCCTGCCCACAGACTCTGGAATCAAAAGATCTAAGTTCTGATGCTGCTTCTGATCGGTTCCTGCCTACTGCCTGTGTGACTTAGACTCCCTGGTTCTGTTTCCCCATCAGTAAGATGAGGCCGAACCAGATGACTCTGAGGTTCCCTTCAGTTCTTGGTTGAGGTGCTGATGCTTCCTGTGCCTGGTGACGTGGGGATGCAGACATATCAAAGGCTTGGACTTTGCTGCCGAGAGCACCCGCTCATCTTCTCCTGTCCAGTCGCCTCTGCCCCCAGCCAGCATCATGGTCATTCTGGCACGTCTGTGCCCTGTGCTCAGTGCTTAGCGACGTCTCTTTGTCCAATGCAGTCTGTTCCACGTATCCATTTTGAGGATCTTTGTGGGCATTGTCAACCGTGACGACATCATGCCACACACAGGGGCCGTGGTGGACAAGATCATCCTGCATCCCCTCTTTAGAATCCACAAGCGGAGACACGACTATGACATTGCTCTGCTGAAGCTCCAGACGCCACTGAACTTCTCCAGTGAGTAAAGCATGATCTGATGGGCACTGGCCCTTCAAGTGAGGTAGGGAGAGGCTTCCCTTTGGAGAGAGAAGGCACCTTATCTGGCTTGGGGCTCCAGTTGGGATAACTTGTTCCCAGGGAACAAGTACTGGAATAGAAGTCTTTTAACATAGGAATGAGACCCTGTTTCTTGGCTTCGGCTTTCAGAGTAGGACTAGCTCCAGCGTCAATGACCTGATTTGGGGGAAGAGATGGAGTAGACGTTATTTTATCCCCCTACAATGGAGCTCCCTGGCCAAGAGAGCTGGAAACCATACTTGTCTGATCTCCATGGAGTGAATCGTTGGGCCCCAGGGGTGACTTCCATTCTTAGCCTCCCCTCACTCTTGCTTCCTCCCAAGGCTTTGCTTTGATGGTCAAGACTTTGTGGGAAACAAGAAGTAGCACCCCATCAGGAAAATATGTGGGAACCCCTCGCCTGATGAGATTTCCCTTTGACCTGTCCCTCCAGACCAGAAGGGGTCTTCAGCAAAAAAATAGAGGCTAGGTTTGCTAGAGGGTCAGGGCTGTGGCCTTCAGGTCCTCGGGCTGGGACTGAATTAGCAAAGTCCAGTGTAGGAAACAAGGGCTGTGGCCTTCTTCTCCAGACACGGTGCGGGCTGTGTGCCTGCCAGAAATGCAGCAGGATTTTCCATAGGGCTCGAAATGCTGGGTATCAGGCTGGGGCTCCACAACCTCTATCTAGGTGAGTGAGATCCAGAAAGGGTGCGCGGTTGGTATTAGATGAGGTAATTGGGAGGAATCCCCTACCCCCTTGTGAGCAGATTGGCTGTGACACATTCATCCCCTTTTACTGATATCACTGTACCCCAGATCTCCTTTTCCTGGATGTCTTCTTTGGCCAGATCTACTAGACTGGCGTCCTTTGGATCATATTCACGTTGGGAAGACAGTCCTGTGTTAATTCTTTACTCCTTCCTCTTCCTGGGGCCTCCACAGAATATATCACTACCTCCTGTGACTTTGTAACAGGCCATTTGTGGAAATCCAGGGCCTAGAGACATTCATAATACTCTGCCCAGGGCCTCTGTTCCTCCCTGGCCCTCCCCCATCTGACAAGACTGCGGCCTCAGTTTTTGCCTCTATCTCCATGTATCTGTTTCCATGGTTGTCTGGGGCTCTGCTTTCTCCAGGGTATGGCTCAGACACCCTCCAGAACGCCTTGGTGCCCCTGATCAGCCCCCAGCTCTGCAATAGCTCTTGCATGTACAAAGGCAAGATCACCCCCCAGATGCTCTGTGCTGGCTACCTGGATGGGCACACTGATGCATGTCAGGTGCTAGACGGGAGGAGATTTGGGTTGGGGGGTTGGTATAGAAGGCATCCCAGGCTGGGGAGCTCTGGGAACCACAGGAGTTGGGGGTGGAGGCCTTTTTATAAATGGGCAGGGAAAGTGATGAGTGCATATGAAGCATTAATTCAACTAGACTGAACAGAAGTGATTTATAGGGGATCACCACTGATACTAGCCCTCTGAAGGAGCAGTGAATGGGAGGCTGCCCTGCAGGGGGCTTTGGGTGAGGTGAGGGTTGACTGTGGGTGGGGGTTGACTCCCCAGAGGGAAGTGGGGTGGGGTAGGAGCTCCAGATCATTAGCCATTGGGCATGTAGCAGTGGCCACTAGTGGTACCCTTCTCCTGAGAAGAACCAACCAACTGCTCCCTTCTCTGTCTCTGCCCCTGGGGTCTCTAAGGGAGACAGTGGAGGTTCTCTGGTGTGTCTGGACCGAGGGATATGGCGCTTGGTGGGTGTGGTGAGCTGGGGCTGGAATTGTGCAAAACCCCACAGACCAGGTGTCTATACCAAGGTGGCTGTGTTCTTGGACTGGATTCACCATCAAATTGGGGGTGAGTGAGGAAGTAAGGGGAAGGGATAGAGCTCTTAGGAATCTTGGAACTTCACCTATGTGCCTATTATCTGTTGGGGGCTGGGGAGGAAACTGGGAAATGCATCCCTGACTAGGGTGTAGGTGGTGGGGGTAGGGGGATGATGTGTCTAGAATTGCATTCCGTTCATTACAAAAAATTCAATTCATGTCTCTGTGGCACTCCTCCCTCTCCACCCCCTCATCCCCCTTCCCCAAACAAGAGGGAAAGGAGATTGACCAAGAATTAGGTATCCTAGGTTCACAGTCACAGTTAACCATGGTACCTATCAAATTGCATTATTCTCTGAGCATCAATTTCTTCATCCACAAAATAAGGCTGAAAAAATTTCTTTGTTTATCTCATGGAGGTGATTGGGGAAATAAAATGAAATGTTTGTGATAGCCCAAATAGTACAAATTACTGCTGCTGCTACTGCTGCTGCTACTGCTGCTGCTGCTGCTACTACTACTACTACTACTACTACTACTACTACTATTACTACTACAACTACCACTACTACCACTACCACCACCACCACTACTACCACTACCACCACCACCACCACCACTACCACTACTACTACTACTACTACTACTACTACTACTACTACTACTACTACTACTACTACT